AAGCCGCCCAGGTGGCCCTTCCCCAAAGAGAGGACACTCACTTTCCCCTGCTGTGCCCGCGATCCCTGCCAGCCAACTACTGTCTGCCCAAGGCGCCGAGCCCCCAGCCCCAGCTCCCAGGCCACACCCCAGACCCACCGATAGCTGCAAGGCCCGCTTGGGCCGGGAGACCAAGAGGCCGGGCGAGCCGCAACAAGTGGCCCCGGAAGCCAGCGGGAAGCCCCAAGAATAGGCAGGGGACTGAGCCACATGGGACCAAGGGACCGAGGCCTCCATGCCCAGGAGGAGCAGTAGCCTCCACGCATGTGGGGAAATCTTATGATTTCTAAACATTAGCGACAGATCTGTGTGGACTGCGCCCGGCCCCCACTTGTGTGAGGCTGCAGCCTGAGGGGCCGGATTCACGGACAAAAAAGGGCAAGCAGCATACAACAAAACCCTCCAGGACCACATTCCAGGGAAGGAGGGGGGTTTCGTGCCTGAGTGGACGTCGCCATGCGGTAACCCGGGCCTTGGTTGAGAGGTGCAGCATGCCAACATTCCATGCCAGCTTCCCACACCCCTCTATCTTGTGAGCACCAGGTTTGGTCTGAGTGCACAGATTGGGCCGGTACAGTTAGAGCGCCATGAGCCAGGAAGATGGCGCTGAGGGCCCGCCCACACCCACCGCCCTCCCCGCCCCACCCGTGGAGCCCAGGCAGCCACAGGCACTGTGGCCCTTGGTGCCCAGAGGGAACTCGCCGTCCACACCCACGGTCTCCTGCTCCCCACAGCCCCTCCTGCCAAGACGGGGGCCCCGGGGTGGGTACCTGAGCTTGCGGTAGTACTGCTGAGCTTTCTCCAGGGACTGTGCGTTGATCTCTTGCTGCAGATCTTCCGCAGCCTGGCAGCCTGGAGGAGGCGCTCCCTCCACCCCCTCCAGAGCTGCGAGGGCGATGCAGGACAGGCGGTTGGGCTCCCGTGAGCTGCTGCTAGCTGGCCTCAGCCCCCAGCCCCGGCCCCGGCCCCAGGGCCGCCCGCAGCTCACCTCGAGTGAAGAGCACCGTGTGCAGCCGCAGGCTGGCCCCGCTCTCCAGGCGCGAGGGCAGCTTGGAGAAGTGGTAGCTGTCCAGGTGGAAGATGACCCGCAGTGCCTGCCGGCTGCCTTCAATGTGGTAGAAGACGCTGGAGTCTGCGGGGCAGCGGGCGGGCCGGGCACTCAGCTCCATGGGTGTAGCCTCGGAACCCCCACCACCTACCCTGAAGGGTAGCCTGCTCTTCCTAGCCTCAGGGTGGCACCTGGGACGTCCGTGTCTACTGGCCCGGGGCCCACCCACCTTCCCACCCTGTGGGGCTCCTTAAGGTCAAGTGCTGGACTCTGCAGGCTGGGATTTCACTAAGCACGGGCCTGGCTGCTGTCTACTTCTAAGAGCAGCGGGAGACAGCTGCATCTGTGTAGACTCCCTGTGTCCCTGTGTGCCCCCAAATCCAGCTCGGGGGCTCACGTAGGGGCCTGAGGTTTGAGGCCAGCACTGGGGGACCCGAGCCACCCCCTCCACCCAGCACCCCGGCTCTCCTGGGGCCGGGGCGGAGTCGCTCACTGGCCACGTAGTTCTCGTCCAGCTGCTTGAAGGCGAAGGTGACGTTGTCCAGCTCTGACAGGGCCACCCGGATGTCCTCCAGCATGGTCCGCTCCTCCCTCTGCACGAGAAGACGGGGCGTGGAGGGGTCACAGATACCATCCCAGCCCTGGCTTTCCCGTGAGAGCTGTCACTCCGCTCCGGACCACACACAAGGGGCTAAGACCTGAGCGTGCTGCCCCAGAGCAAGACGTGACATCCTGGTTGTCTCCCAAGGGTCCCCACTCTGTTTGTGAGTGACCCTGGCGAAGCCACACCCTCTCGTACTTGGACCCCTCCTCTCTCACCTGCACTCCCCTACCTGCACCTCATCCTCTCTCATAAGCCACCCCCTTACCTGCACTCCCCTCCCCACACCCTTCCCCCACCTGCACCTCCATCCACCCTTGCCTGTACCCCCTCCCACCTTCCCTGCACTGCCCAGCAAGCCCGGGGCGTGGCCATCTCTGTCCTCACAGTCCCAAAGTCCCCATTTCTGGCCTGCACCTCCGTGGGAGCCGTCAGCTCCCGCTGCTCAAGCCCCACACCTACAAGGATTGTCACCTGTGCCCAGTCCGCCAGCACGCCCTGCGGGGTCATGCTCCAGCTTCCCGGCCACCCCCAAACTCAGGGCCCTGTCGTCTCCCCAGCAGGACGCTGCCGGGGGCTTCCCCCTGCCATCTCCCCCGCCCCGTCCCCCCCCCCACTCCAGAATGAAGTTCCAGGTCCCTCTCTGCCCACCGCCCTGCCCAGCGCCCTGGCCCCGCCCAGCCCCGCCCAGGGCCTTTGTACAAGCTGCTCCCTCTGCCAGCAGAGCTCAGATCGGTTAGCCAGCTGCCCAGGGGCCCGGCTCCACCGTCCCGCTGCCCATGGCCTCCATTTCCTGCATGGTCTCCCCGGCTTCTCCTCAACCTCAGCTTCAGACCCCAGTGTGGAATTCAGAGCCTGGCACCTCTGGGTGTCTGGAGAACGAATGAACTGGGCCCAGTGTCCCCATCTGCGCAGAGGCAGCTGAGGGCTGGGACTCTGGCCTGCCCTCTGGGACCAGGCTTGGGCCTTCCAGGAACTCGGAACAGCTCTCCCACCAGGAAGGCGCCTGAGTGCAGCAGCGGCCAGCAGAGGGCGCTCCCAAGCCACGCGTCCCACAGCCAGTAGCTGGGGCTTTGGGAACCCTCTGGTGTCCACACCCTGATGCCAGGGGTTCCTCTCCTCCTGGCCCCCTCAGTGTCACAACCAACGGTGTCTCCAGATGCTGCCCAGAGAACCACTGGCCTGTGCCATTTATTGTTCCTGTCTGTGTGTCTGTCCCCTCTCACTAGGATCTAAGGTCCTAGGCACAAGGACCTGCAGGCTCCCCAGTGCCCCAACAAGGGCACAGAGTAGGTGCTCAACAAACAGCTGCTGCAAGACCGACCATGTGAGCGAGGGCCCGTGTGAGCAGGTGGGAGACCAGCAGGGCCAGCAGGGAGCCCCCTCCCGCCCTCCCGGATGGCTCACTACAGCAGCGGGCGCCAGCAGGGAGCCCCCTCCCGCCCTCCCGGATGGCTCACCACAGCAGCGGGCGCCAGCAGGGAGCCCCCTCCCGCCCTCCCGGATGGCTCACCACAGCAGCGGGCGCCAGCAGGGACTGGCAGTGCAGCAGGACACCCGTGGCGGCCACCTGCTCCAGCCACTTGCGGCTGGCGTCGCGGCTGCTCTCGTCATACTCGCCGTTGTTGTTGTAGCGGTAGCTCAGGGCCGCCAGCAGCTGCTCGGAGAAGGTGCACACGGCGGCCACCAGGGCCTGGCAGAAGACGGCGTCCCTGCGTGGCTGCAGCTCCGTGTCTGGGGACACAGTGGGGGGAGGTGCTCCTGGGCCCCCAGCAGAGCACAGCCCGATGCCCTAGGCCCCCTACCAAGCGCTCGGGGCGGACATCCCTCCAGCTAAAAGCCAGGTCCCCAGAACTGCGCCCTCCCATGGCCGGCTGGCTGCCGAGCGCATGCTCCTCTCCGTGAGTCAGGGCCTCCGCGGAGCCCAGGCGACCTCCCCGAGGCTCTCCAGCGGGGCCCTTGGCCTTGGCCGGTGAGCGCCAGTGGTGTTCTCGCTCTCCACTGTCCCCACATTCGAGATCTGTGCTCTCCTCCTGGCCCTGTCCTACCCCTGTCCTCGACCTGGCCAGGCTTGAGGAACTGGCCGGCTGCAGGCAACTGGTCTTTCAGGGTCTGAATGGTTTTTCACTAACTGGCTCCCAGCCATGGGGCTCTGAGGGTTAATTCTGAGCCGGATCTGACTGCGGCTTCCTCTTGGCTGAGAACTGGAAAGAAGCTTGGGCGGAGAGCATCTCCAAGACGCCCAGGCCCACCTTCAGCCCCTCCCACTGGGTGGGAGCCCCCAGACAGGGCTCAGGGCTCACTGGCAAAGCCCCCACACCCCCAGCTACCCATCCCGGGTCTCAGCCCCGGCAGGGGGCACAGACAGGGCTCCTGGCTCTGGGGTCCCTACCAGTATCCCTCACACGCAAGAGGAAGAAGCAAAGATTGAGTCCCTGTAGGGCCTCGAGGCCAAAATGGTGCTTCCCCAGGCCAGGCCAGGCCAGGCCAGGCCGCCGCTGCCAGGCCGGCTCCACATACACCTGGGCTGGGGCCCACGCCCCTGCCTCTGCAGAGCCCTCACCTGCGCACTTCAGCAAGGCCAGGAGCAGCTGGTTCTTTCCATCTGCAAGGAAATGCAGGAGAGAGGAGGGCAGGCTGAAGGGGGCCCAGGACAGGAGCAGAGCTGGCCCCGCCCTGCAGCCCCTGCGTGACCCCTCTGCCATGTGGCTCTGAGTGCACACAGCCGTGCTGGAGGAGCTCTGAGTGCTGGGGGAACCCCAGGACCCCCGGATCCCAGGCCCACAGCACCTGCAAGCAGCGCCGAGGACCAGCCCTCCTGGCCCGAGCCCCAGCCCCTGCCGCACAGCTCACACACACACGCACATGCGCGCACCTGCTGGCACGAGGATGTGCGTGCGACACAGCCACAGCCCCACGCGTGTGGTGACGAAGGCCTTAACACCCTGGCCCTCCCTTCACAAACACACTCAGGCCCCGCAAGGCTTCAAGGAGGAAGCTGCGGCGTCTGTGGGGCCGGCCTCTCACGGTGCCTGCTTCCCAAGACATGGGCCAGGGCTGGGGCCGGGGAGGGGGCAGAGCCTCAGCGGCAGTCCCTGCTTATCAGGGAGCACACAGGGTGCCTGACCGGGCTGGCTGCACCCCGCAGCACCGCGAAGTCATGGAAGTTGCCCAGGGGGCTCAGCCCATCATGGGTGAGCTGGGACCCAAGCCCGGGTGGCCTGGCTGAGTCCCCTTTCTTGAGCTGTTACAGCCTCGGACAACAGACAGCTCCGGGTCAGCACCGGGCACCGGCTCAGGGCGGCCGCTCTCTCGGGGAAGGGCCCCAGCCTCATGCTGCCTCCTGGCCAGGCGGAACAGTCCCCTGGCCCAAGTCTTCCTCACCCAGGGCCCAGACTCAAATGCCCTCTATGGGTGACAGATGAGGTCAGGAGTGTGGGGCAGACCCTGCCGCAGGGCATGCTGGGACTGTGCAGACCTAGAAGCAGCCCTGCCCCACCCAAAGAGAGCAGCCGCCGCCACGCCTCTCCCCCAGGGCGAGGAACGGGATGCTGGCCTGGGCACGCGGCTCCTGCTTTCCAAGGCCCCGCCTTGGAGCGAGGATCCTGACCTAGCGGGAGGGGCAGCTGAGCTGGGGGCCCAGCTCCTCCTGGGTTCCCTCCCTCTGGTTGTTCATAGACACCCAGAAATCCAGACGTCCATGTGCGACCCCGGCGGCACACGCAGGTGGCAGGGCCCTCAGGATTTCACACTGCGCAGGGGGCTGCCAGCAGGTGACCCTGGCCATGGGCCAATGCAGCTGAACTAAAGGCACGGTGTGGGAAGATGGCAATGAACCAGACTCAGCCTCCTGACTCCAGGCAGACACATCTGCATAAACAGTGCCCCATGCTGGCTGTCCCCCAGGCATGGACATAGCCCCAGGCCAGGACGCTTGGCTGAGTCAGGGCACCCTCACGTCTCCTTTCCCAGGGCATGGTGACGGAGACGGAGCCGGTCCCAATCCTGCCAGCCTCCAAACCAAGGGCACAGAACCCGCACGCCCCTCCCCGCCCCTGACCTTCCACGTATCTCTGGATGTTGTCCACCAGGGTCTTGATGGAGCTGGGGAGGTTCCAGGGGTCCTCCTGGATGCTGATCTGGATCAGGCTCCGGCCACGGATCGTGCACTCTTCTTTCTGCTTGAACTCTGGGGCGGGGAAAGCGGTGTGAAGGTCAGGGACGAGGGTGGCTTTGGAGAACGGTGGCACAAATGCCTGTGTCCCATCACCAGACTCCACAGCTCCGAATCCTAGATCAGCTGGCAGAACTTGGGTATTATCTGGTACATGGAGGGCAAACAGATGACAAGTGTGCCCAAGGCAGACATCACTAATCACTCCCAGCATCCCCTCTTGCTAGTCTGAGTCTCTGACTCCCCACAGCTACAACAGTCCAGGGCAGACATCATAAATCAATCATGGTGTCCTTTTCTAAGCTTGTATGTTCTAGCCACAGAAGGAGGTGCAGGTGGTACCGCTTCCTTGTAGCCACAACCAAACAAGCTGGCACAAGAGTCATAACCTTTACCCAGAGAGGAAGCTCCAGCACAGCCTGAGAAAGGGACTTGCCCAGGGCCACACAGCTGGCTGGTGGCAGCAGAGCTGGGACCTGAATCCAGCCCCAGCCCAAGCATTCACAGGCTAGGCAGACAAGGCCCCTGCTGCTTCGGTTTCTTCCTTGTTACAAGACCCCAGGGTTCTGAGACCTTTGTGGTTTTGCACCTCTGGGTTTGTTGCTTCTGCTTCCTGACATCCGTCTGTGGAGAGGTGACCTTGGGTCAAGAGGAGGGACGGAGGGGTCAGGGACCCCAACTCCTCATCTCTTTCTATCCTTCCACAGGGGCAACTGCCTGCTGCACTCCTGTCTCCAACACCCAACTGGAAGCTTCTTGTGGTCAGGGCATGTCAGATTCATCTCAGGGCTGCCAGTGCCCAGCAGGAGGCCTGGCAAAGCTGTTCTGGGGACTTATCTACTGAACGTACAGATGTGTGGATGACAGGTAGCTGGGTGGGTTGGTAGATAGGTACATGGATGGACAGATGGATGGTGAGCAGAAGAACAAATGGATGATGGGTGGGTGAGTGGATGGGTGGGTGGGTGAGTGGATGGATGATTGGTAGGAGGGTGATGGATGAGTGGATCAGTGCATGGATGGAGATGCATGATGGTTGGACAGATAGTGAGTAGTCGGGTAGATGATGGATGGACGCATGGGTGGGTAGGTGGATGGATGGGTGGATGCATGGATGGATGGATGGGTGGGGCATGGATGGAGGAACAAATGATGTGTCATGGGTGGACAGGTGGGTGGATAACGGATGGATGGTGGGTGGGTGAGTGGGTGATGGGTGGGTAGGTAATGGATAGGTGGGTGGGTGATGGGTGGGTAGGTAATGGATAGGTGGGTAGGGGATAGGTGGGTGGGTGATGGGTGGGTGGGTGGATGGATAGGTGGGTGGGTGATGGATGGAGGGATGAATGATGTGTCATGGGTGGACGGGTGGGTGGATAAAGATGGATGGTGGGTGGGTAAGTAGATGATGGGTGGGTGGGCGGGTGGATGGATGGATGGAGGGGTGAGAGATGATGGGTGAGTGGACAGATGGAGGATGGATGGGTGAGTGAGAAGGTGGGTGATGGGTAAGTGCCAGGAGAGATGGCTAGAAAGACAAAATTCTTTTCCTTTGAACTGTTTCAAGAAGAGAGTCTCACTCTGCTGCCGGTAAGTGTGACTAGGCCTCTCCTGAACAGTGCACAGGTGCCCTGGCAGCACTGCCTGCCTTCCACTGTCTGCACCGGACCTACGGCTGTGGTCTGCCTGTGGCATGTCAGGAGCTCCCGATCCAGGAGTTTAATAAGGCTCCTTCTGGATTACATTACTAAAGGGAAGACAGTTTTCTCTAAGGGGGGGGGGGGGGGGGGGGTGTAAAAAACAACACAGGCAGCAGAGGGAGCTGCTGAGCCAAGCACACAGGTGCAGACGTCAGTGGGTCCTGTGAACACAGCCCAGGGCGACAGGAGTGACCTCTGTTTGCAGCCCCCTCTCCCCAGGCCCCACACAATGACTCCTGAGGCCCAGGGACCAGCCCAGGGACACAGACCTGGGCCTACGCTTTGGTCCGTATTCTTTGTTTTGTTTTTACACCCTTCAAAAGTCACAGTGAACCCTTTCTAAGCCCGGAGGCTGTGGGCTGGATCCTGGAGCGGCCGAGGGCCGAAGGCCAGAGCCGGCGGTGTGATCACGGGCTGCCCTGGCTGCCTCACCTTGTAAGCTGTGGTCCATGGGGAAGTGCCTGGTCTCCTCGAAGGCCCTGCTCATCACCGGGCTCTTGAGCAGCGCGTTGATGGCGTCCACCTGAGGGCAGCAGGCGCAGGCTGAGAGGGGCCCCAGCCTCCTCCCAGCCCCGGGGACCCCGGGCCATGCGGGGAGAGGCGAGGCGGCACCTGGTTAAAGAGATGCTCCAGGCAGCCGTGCAGCTTGTCCTGCTTGTCCGAGGGGATGCGCATGTCACAGGGCAGCTCGTCCCCTGGCAGAAGCAAGGAGCCACAGCCATCACTCCTAGCCCCTTCCTCAAAAAGCCAAGGCAGCTACAGAGTCCCTGCCCCATAGGGGGCGTGGAGTCTGACCGGCCCAGGGCCACACTGGGCACTGCACTTGACTTCTCTGAGCCTCAGTTTCTCCATCTGCAAAATGAGCGCTCACAAGTGAAGCCTCGTGCACGGGCAAGGCGCTGTGATTATTTCCATTCCACCAAGAGAGGACTGAGAACGGGAGGGAGGGAACTGCGGCCCCAGCCTCCCATCCCCAGCCGCTTCAGTCCAGTCGGCTGCTGCCCCCAGCTTGGCAGCTGAGCGCCTCACGCCACGGGAGGTCCTCCCAAGTGCTTTCCCTTCTGCTACATTCCCGTGCCACTGAACTCACACTCCCGTGCACATGCCAGCTCCGAGGGCACATGGGACAGTGTGGGGCGAGGCTGGGGGGCAGCTGCATCACTGGGCTCCCCCTCACTGGACCACCCCCGCCCCGCATTCAGAACCATGCAGCATGTGGATGGTGGCCCCTTCACAGCACTAAAAGCTGGCGGGAAGCAAGGCCAAGACAGACACAAAGGCTGCACGCACAGCACGCAAGAGCACCACTCAGGCCCGTCCATCTGTCCATCCAGCCGCAGCCTTGTGGCCCTCTGGACATATAGACCGGGCCGCCCACAGCCTGCAGGTCCTGACAATGGCCAGGCCAGGGCAGCCAGCCGGGCTCCAGCTCACGCCTGTGCTCCCGTGTTTAACCATACTGCGCTGTGGGGTCCTGGCTTGGGGTTCGCCTTGTTCTCCTGGAAACCTTTGGGGCCGCGTGATCATCACAACCACCGTCATATATGACATGTGATCGAGTATGATCAAACACAAGCACATCAGGCGTGCTTTCTCGTGTCCCGTGGCCCCACCCGTCGCAGAGGATGACAGCACCACGAGGACCAGGCTCAGAGGAGCAGATGGCAAGGGACAGGCAAGGGGTGGGCAGCAGCAAGGCCCCCGGAAGGATCAGGGCGCACCAGTGACGTGCACTGCAACACGACACCGCATGCACGGACATGTGCAGCTTTACGTGTTGGCGAAACTGCCTCAGGGTCTAGGGACGGGACATGGTGACGAGCCCGCACTGAGGACTCACGCCGCACCCGTGGGTCGAATGATCACACAGTACCCGCAAGACAGTACAACACGCTGCCTTTTAAAACCACGCTAACGAACATCTGTTGAAGCAGGAAGCGACGGCCCTGGAACGCTGCCACGCGCTCCGCGCCCTGACGCATAGCAGGATGCAGAGTACACCCAGGCAGAAACCCAGCGCAGCCTCGGCACCCCACGCCACTCACCGGAGCCCATCTCGTCGCTGCCCAGGTAGGAGCTGTTACTTCTCACACTGGTGTAGGACAGGACTGAGTCCCGGTTGCTGTTACACTCGCTGCAAAGGGGCCGAGAGGATGGGGCTGCGTCACACCCTTGGGGCCCACAGCCCACTTCGGGCAGTGCAGACGCAAGCCCTGGGCCCTCAGGCAGGCTGTCTGCAGGGCCTGGCCAGTACACGACTGGGAGAGTTGGGGGGCAGCCCTCGGCCCCAGCACAGACACAGGCACAGCAGGAGGCTGCTGACTCCTCTCCGTCCAGGGTCCCCAGGGCTCCCGAGACATCACTCCTCTTGTGGGACAGCCTTGCTCAGGACACGCTCGGTTACCCGCCGCCACCCCAGCCTGCCCACAACCTCAGGACCAAAAGGGCTCCTGCGTCCAGGAATCCCTTCCCCCACAGTCCCAGCAAATCTCTTCTGCACCTTTCAACGAGGGGTAACAACGAAAGGAAGAAGCCAGGCCTGGAACCCTGCGGGGTGGGCAGCCGTGCACTCCAGACTGGGGCTCCGAGGACGCCAAGGCCAGGTCCTCTCCACCAGTGTCCACCAGTTCTGGGTTGGATTTTTTTTTCCATTTTATTTATGAAAGGCAGGCAGGCAGAGCTCTTCCATCTGCTAGCTCACTCCCCAAATGTCCACAACAGCCAGGGCTAAGCCAGGCTGAAGCCAGGAGCCAGGAGCTCCATCTGGCCTCCTATGTGGGTGGCAGGGCCCAGGGATTTGAGCCATCACTAGCCGCCTTCCTGGGCATGCACTAGCAGGAAGCTAAATCAGAAGTGGGGCAGGCACAACTCGAAGGCAGCAGGCAACTTACGGCACTACACAGGGGCCTGCCCTCTGCTCTGGCTTTTGCCCGCAGACAGCTAGAGTAGCCGTCGCAGCAGGGCACTGTTGTGAGACCTCGCACAGAGACCAGGAACGCTGGTGGACTGTGGTGGGTCTGGCTGATTCGAGGATGCTGAGTTCTCATCTGCTTAACTCACTCATTCAAACCTCGCTGGGCTGGGTATTTACTTTTTTTTTTTTTAATATTTATTTATTTATTTGAAAGAGTTACACAGAGAGAGGAGAGGCAGAGAGAGAGAGGGAGAGGTCTTCCATCCTCTGGTGCACTCGCCAATTGGCTGCAACGGCCGGAGCTGCACGAATCTGAAGCCAGGAGCCAGGAGCCAGGAGCCAGGAGGCTCTTCCAGGTCTCCCACATGGGTGCAGGGGCCCAAGCACTTGGCCATCCTCTACTGCTTTCCCAGGCCTCAGCAGAAAGCTGGATCGGAAGCAGAGCAGCTGGGACTCGAACCGGTGCCCATATGGGATGCCAGCGCTTCAGGCCAGGGTGTTAACTCGCTGTGCCACAGCGCCGACCCCATAGGCTGGGTATTTATAATGAAGAAAACCAATGCAGAAAAACCAATGCAGATCCCCCAAGGCAGACATCTTTAAAAAGCAACTTGGCAGGCATCTGGAGCTGCTGGGGACCCCACAGCCCATAGCAGAGTTCCCGGTTCAGTCCGGTTTCCGTCCTGATTCCAGCTTCCTGCCAGTGCACAGCTGGGAGGCAGCAGGCGGCGCCAGCACCTGGGTCCCTGCCACCCGTGTGCAGGACCCAGACTGAGATCCTGCAGGCATCCGGGGAGTGAAGAGCACATGCAGGATCCATCTGTCTCTCTGTCCCTCCACCTCCCCCACTGCCATCTTTCAAAATAAAATAAGTAAGGGAAACAAACTGAAACAGCGATCTTCCTCAGATCAGTAAAATAAGCCAATGTTACTGCGACCTGGCGCCCCGCGCATTCCAACAGCACTGACTCAGGATTTTCCCTGATGACACCAGAGTGTGCGCGCGGGAGAGCGAGCGGGCATGGCTCGGATGCCCCCAGTGGTGACGTCTGCTGCCCAGGTGCATGGCATCCCGGGAAGGGTCCCCCGGCTCTGCTCTCCCCGACTCCGCCCCAGCCACAGGTACCTGTAGGAGTCGCGGTAGCTCATGGTGTCGTGGCCTGAGTCCTCTTGCTCCTCCCCGGACACCTTGAAGCACACCTTCTTGATGCCCCCGTGGTCACTCCTGTCCAGCTCGCTCTCCTCGCCGACTAGCGGGGACGAGGAGGCCTCCTCAGCTGAGGGTGGCTCGCAGGCCCCGCCCACCGTGGGCTCCGTGATGGTGGACAGCAGCCTGCAGACAGCGAAGGCACCGAGGTCCAGACCCAGGCCACGGTCCTGGCTCCTCCACAGAGGCCCAGGCCAGGCCCTGAGCTCGGGCCTCACCCTCAGGCCTCTCACCCTGCGTGGACGGAGCCATCCATCCCTTACTCCTGACAACACCAGCGTCGGCTCTGTAGAGGCCGGCGCTGCCCCCCGCAGGCGGGGAGGTCCCTGGGACCCGGCCCTGCTCCAGGCTCTGGGCCACAGCACACGGGCCAGGTCCAGAGAGCAAACCTTCCTGGCTCTGCAGGCCACACGGCCTCGAGCAGCACCACATGGACGGTGCATACACTAGCGGGTGTGACTGTTCCGAAAAAAAATTTATTTTTGAAGACAACAGGCAGTGGGCGGGACCTGGCCCCTGGGCCACTGCCTGTGGCCCCTACACGGTGCGGGATGCCTGAGGACCCCAACTGGACGCTGCCACCTGTGGGCTTAGAAACCTGAGACTCGGTCTCCTCCTCTGTTAAAATGGGGTCGTACGATACCCACGCCCCAGGCTGCTATGAAGATGAGGGAGTCGGGATGGGGCGAGCGCTTAGAGCGGCTGGGAACGGTTGGCGGATCCTGGCTATGCACAATCCAGCCACACTTCAGCCGGGATGCGAGGCTATGAATGAACCTTGTACCACGGCAGTTTCCCATCGCACACCCAGGAAGCAGGAAGCCCGCGCTCTGGCAGCTTCCAGGCGGCGGCTAGAGGTCCGCTTTCGCCCCCAGTCTTGCCCTTGAAGCATAAAGAAGTCCAGCCCAACTCAGCGTGTCCCTGTGCACACTGCCCCACATGGCTGTAGTCCGGAAGGGTCTCGTGCTGGGGGCCACGGGACAGTGGCCACAGTTGGTGGGGGGGTGGATGCTGACACCAGGTGGGTGGAGGCAGGGGTGCCGGCCTCCAGGACCCAGAGAAGCTGACCCACATGTGCACAGGCCGGAGCCAGAAACGGCTTCAGCACAGCCACCCTGCTCCTGCGGTGCCCCAGCGCCACATCTCCCAGCCTGGACTCGGCAGTGGTCCCCACCTTGGTCCCTCCACTCTCTGCTCTGCGACAGGCCTCCGGCTCCCCTCACTCACTGGCCCACCACGTCCCCACGCTGCCATGGAAGTGGCCTTTATCCTCCACGGCAGGCTGGTGTGGTGAGACCCCAGGGCATAGACGGAGCACCGGTGGGCAGTGCCACGTGTGTCACATCCCGCCAAGAGGGACACGGGGCCCAGCCATCTGCCTCTGCCGGTTACAGTGACCAAGGCCCTGGGAGCGCCAGTCTCCGGCCTGGGCCGCTCCCACCTACACCCCTTCCTCCTCAGGATTCCCTGGGCACGCCCGGGCCCGGCTCACCTGTCGATCTGGGTGACATACTGCTTCATCTCCTTCAGGGCCACGCCCAGCCGGGTGAAGAGCTGCAGGTAGGCGTCCTGGGTCTCCCGGTCCTCCTGCCTGAGCAGGAAGCTCAGGCCCCGGTCTTCCTGGCCAGGGGCCCCGCTGGGGTCACCGAGACCCTGGCCTTCGGAGTCCCTGTCCGCAGGAGGCAGGCACTTCCAGGACGGGGCAGCCATGGTGGTGATGCAGTGCTGGGTGTAGGACATGGGGTTCAGGTGACCTACAAGGGGCGGGGCATGTGCTCAGAAACAGCCCCACAGGGGGCACGTTGGCCCAGGAACCCAAACCAAGGCCAGATGCCAGTGAACGAGGAGGCCTTGTCCCTGGAGTGCTCCTATTGCACTAGGCAACTTCAAACCCCAAGTCTGGGCTTGGTGCTAAGATGCTGTAAACCGCCATGGTCTTTTTCTTCCTGGAATGCAGGCATAATGGCTACTGCTCCAGCAGCCATGCTCTGCCGTGAGGTATCACGAAGTTAGAAGCCCCTTCCAGAGATGGGCAGGGCCTGCACTGCTGACCTCCACGCAGCTTTCTGTTTCAGGCACTGCCCTGTGCACTAAAACAGAGACCCGACCACCACTCCTCTCTGTCACACACACGCGTGCACACATATACCCACACGTGCACACGCGCACACCAGGTACCTTGTTCTGGGTCGAGACCAATGAGGGAGGGCTTGCGCCCGAAGCGGATGCTGAAGGACCGGCCGATGCAGGGCGTGCTCTTGGGGTAGGACACGTCCATGAGGTTGATGTGACAGTTGGTGGGGCAGAAGTCCAGGCCACACAGTGGGTGGGGTTCCAGGGGCGCCTGTTTGAAGGCTGGGCTGACCCTGCTCCTCAGCTGAGCTGCGAACTGCAAAAGGTGGGAGAGTTGGGGCCAGCAGCCGGGAGACTCCAGAACCAGAGTGCCCCCGGCTCGGAAGGGAACCGGGGACTCCCGGCCCGGCCCCTGGGCCCCCCTGGAGGTCTCACATCTCCCTCTGGGCCACGCCTGAGCTCTCCTCCACAGCCTCTCTCTCCACGCCCCCCACCCCCACAGGGGCCCGCATGCCAAGGCTGTGAGAGCCGCAGCTGGTTCCGGCCAGAGCTGCAGAGGCCCTGCCTGCCACTGACAGGGATGGCGACACGGAGGGAACCCGAGTCAGAAACGGGCAGCAGTCACGTTCTCGCGACACTGGGGCACGCCGCAAGGACACAGACCCTGGAACCGCTCCTGCTTACTCAGGCTGAGCCGCCGCGGCGGGGCGCCGGCGGCAGAGGCCCTGCGGGGAGGGGAGCCGGTACCTCCCGGTAGCAGGCCACCCTCTGGCTGATGCTCTCCAGCTTGGTGTCACAGATGTGCCGGAACTCGTAGTGCGGCATGGTCACCATGGCACTGCCCAGGGCCATGAGCCGCCCGCAGTTCTGCACAAAGACGCTGTCGTCGGCCGCAAAGGCCTCCAGCACCTGCAGACAGGACGGTGGCTGAGCGCCCGCCACGTGCCAGGGGCCCACAGGTGCTGCCCCAGGAGGGCGGCACGTTCCCGGCACATAGTGCAGACGCGTGGACTTGTGCTCAAGGGACAGGTTACTCTCCTGCGAGCCATAGGCCCCGAGGGGTGGGTGGGTCAGGGACCAGAACCCCACCCCCAGGGCGGCTGGGGTGGGCTGACCTTGGCCGCAAGGCTGAAGCAGCCACGGGGCTCCACGACGCGCTCCAGCACGTGGCACTTGATGCCCGCTGTGCTCACGTATTCGTACAGCACACCGTGCTCCAGGTGCATGTTGTCCACCGTCAGGCTGACCACGGGGCTGTCCTCACGCAGGCTCAGCTGGGGGCCCAGGGACAGCAGAAGGCAGGCTGCCAGCCAAAGGGGCAGGCCACACTGAGGAGGGCCCGGCTGGCTGCCTGCCCCCCGCCAGCCCCAGTCCCTCCAGGCCCCACCCTTGCGCCCCTTCCCAGTCCCCATGGCTCAGGAGAGATCCCACCCACCCACGCCCCTCCCGAGGTGTCTCCACATGCCCTTCACAGGGATTGGCTCAGGAATGAGCATGTGACCCACGCTGGGCCAATGAGAGTCAGCTCTGAGACTTCTGGTGTCTACCAAGAAAGGGAGTTTGCTTCTTTGTTTGAAAGGCACAGAGATCCGCCCTTTATCTTTGGGTTCCAAGCTGCCAGAGCCACCGTATGGGGGAAAAACCCCACGTAAGAGGGAAGCCAGCACACAGCGCTGAGAAATGGAACAGAGTCCACTTGCTACCGTGTGAGGCACTGGATCGAGCCAGACCTGAACCTTGCGCAACCCCACTCAGGATTTGAGTCTGCTGAGCACATTTTAATGTAACCTGGTCTGGGTCCTGCAGCCCTAGGGGCCCGAGAGGCCACACAGTGAGGCAATGACAGAGCTGCAGACACAACAGCACCGATGTGGACCCACTGGCCTGGCAAGGCTGACGCGGGCGAGAGGAAGGCAGTCCCTGGGAGTGCCTGTGCCCCCAGAGGCTCCCGTCACCTCCTGCCTTCTCGTTACCTGAGGCAGGCTGGTCTTCCTCGCCCCTGGGATCCTCGCTGGGGGCCTCGGGGCTGGCTCGGGCCTCCTGGGCATCCTCGTGGGTATGGTAGATCCACTGGTACAGGCCCTGGAGGAAGCAACAGTGACCGGGACAGTCCCAAGGCCCCAGGCAGCAAAGGACAGGGCTGAGATACAAGCTACTCTGGAGTTCCAAAGCCCAGGCGTCTGGCCTGGCAGCGATGCCACCTTTGGGGAGGCCTCCAAGATTGCACTCTGGAGCCTTCCCCAGGGACCTGCAGTCGCAATCAGCCCACCCCGTGGAGTCTGTGCTCCACCAAGAGGCCGGCGGAGGGTCCCTCATGATGGACATGGTGTCTGTGAACACAGCCGAAGACTCCACTGCAGCCTTCCTGCCCCCCAGATGCACCTCCATGGGCAGAACGGGGACTGGCACGCCTATTCGGCTGAGGAGGAGACTGAGCTCAGCGAGCACTGCCCAAGGGCTAGCGAGGGAGCTGACGGACCCTGGGCCCTGGCCAGCCACACCGGCTCCTGCCACCACGCCGCCACCTGCCCCACACACCCGTGCGGTAATGCCAGAGGGGCTCGCTGCTCCCATTTCCCAGCTGTGAACACTGAGGCCACGAGCTACCACGGCCTGGCCCCTCCCCTGGGCATGCAGGCCACCCGCCCACAGCCCCTGCCGCCTCAAGGCCTCCCCTTGGAGGATGAGGAGGGGGCAGTTTCCAGACCCATCTGGCAGGGCTCCCCGGGGCTTACCAGGGCCTCGTGGCGCCGGCTGCGGAAGGCCTGGAAGTGCTCCAGCACGGCGGGGGCGCCGGCGCTCGCCACGCTGCCGCCATCCACCTTCAGCACGCACTGGCCAGCGCACAGCCCCGCGGCCGCCGCCTCTGAGCCTGGTGGGGGGAGGACAGGGTGCTGGAGGTCAGGCCGCTCACCAGCCCCACGCCCGGGCCAGCCCAATCGCGCCCGCTCCTTCCTTCCTGCCCTGAAGCCACCCTCTGACCCGCCGTGTGCAGCAGAACAGGGGCTGGCACCCCCGCTTTAGAGACAAGACTGCCAGGCGCAGAGAAGTAGCAGCTTGCCAAGGACAAGCAGCAAGGAAAGTTCTAGAGCCTCATAGCCCGTCAAGTCCAGCAACCTCCTTCGGACAGTGGTCCAGGGCTGGCTCCATTCAGCATAGAGAGAGGGGCCCAGAGAGGCATGGCGACCCCTCAACATCACACAGCCAGGAGAAGCCAGGATGCAGCCCAGGGCGACCAGACGCCAGGTGCACACTCTGCTCAGCTCTGCCACGACTCCCAGGCCCCAGCTGTCGGAGCCCAGGGTTTCGGGGTGGTGTCAACGGTCAGGGAATAGCAAGTGACGGCAGGCTTGGTGTGGCCACGGGAGGACAGGGACGGGAAGGGGCAGAGAGACAGTACAGGCTCTGGATTCTGGAGGCCAGGTTTCAAACCCTGGCTCTGCTACACCCGCCTGACAGCCTTCCCAAGGTCCTTAACTGACCCCTCGGGCTTGCCAGCCGGCTCCCTGAGCACATGCCTATGGAAGCAGAGGCTGGCCCAGGTGCTTGCGTCTCTGCGCCCGCGTGGGAGACGGGAGACCCAGAGGGAACCAGTGGGGGGAAGAGCTCTCTCTGTAGGTCTCTCGCTCCCTGTCGCTGCCTTTCAGACATACAATAAACTCCTTAAATAGCACCCGTTCTCAGGAGTCTTCTGCCGTTTTACCTATCCCCTTGGTCAGCAGCTGTGACCACAGAGGCGAAGCTGAGCGCAAAGGGCTCCTTGGACGCTCATGGGCTTGGGAGCCAGTGGCGCAGGCAGGCACCGCAGATCTGCATGGCCTCGAGCAGAGGACGGAAGGCCTGGCAGGGTGCTCTGGGCAGCCCTGGCCTCTGGCCCGCAGACAGCCCCGCCCCCCAGAACAAGGTCCCCGCTCACCTCTCCCCACGGCGTAGACGTAGGGCGGGGCGGCCCCACGGATCTGGAAGCACAGTGCATCTGGCTGGTCGGGGACCTTGATGATCCTGCGGCAGGCAGAGGGGCTCAGAAGGGTCGCCAGGAGGAGCAGCCTGGCCCCAGGTGACGGCGCTGAGCTTTCTGGGACCCAGCCCCGTGCACGGGAGCAGCAGCAGGTGCTCTAGCTCCCAGATATACAGAGAAAGTGCAAGGAAACAGGGGTGCAGCCCCAGGATGTGCATGGGCACCACAGCCCCTTCCTGCACCTGCTCCTGACTGCTTCCGGCGGCCAGACGGCCTGTCACCCCACAGCCACGGCAGGGAGGGTGACAAGTGAGCTACTGGGCCAGGCACTGAGGCACGCCGGGGTTCCTGGAAACTCACAGCCCTCCCGAAGGTGGCTCACCCTTCTACTGAGATAACTGTTCTTCAAACCGCCCAGCACTGCCACTGCTAGTTTGCCTTAGATAGGAGGGAGAAGGGACAACAGAACGCCTGGTTTTAGAAACAGAGCGCACCTCCCACGTGCCCGTACCGCACAGCGCCCCCTCGCTGGCAGTGCTACCTGAGCTGACAGCTCCTCACCTCTCCCTGCACTTGGCTCTGCCCCTGACAATCTGTCCCCACCTGCGGCCACAAGGATCCCGTCAGAACCTTCCAGTGCCTCTGCAGGGCGCTGGCCACAGGCCCGAGGTCTCACAGGGCCTGGGCCCCCGCTCCCAGCTCCAGCCGTGGCAGCCTCCTTTCTCTTCTTGCCACCTCCTCCGGGTCCCCAGCCCCGTCCTCAGTGACATCTTCCTGAGCAGCAGCCCTCGGCCCCCCCAGCCCCTTTCTCAGCTCCTGATGTCTGCGCCCCACTCAGCAACCCCAGTGCCAGCATCAGCTGTGTCCCTCTCCATCTCCCACTAGGCCTGAGAGCTCTGACGTGGGGACAGATGCATCCACCCAGTGCCTAAATCACTGCTCGGTCCACAGTGGGCAAGCGGGTACCCAGTCAAACGTGGAAAGCAACGATGGGATGGGCTTCGGCCACGCGCCTCCAGCTGGGAGCCCCCACCACCGGGGAACCAGGGCAGCCCAGGCCCCGCCCCCAGAGCCCAGCCCAGGACACTCACTCTTTGGCCTTGGTGGCCACCAGGAGGCGCAGCGGGCGGCGACAGCAGAAGGACTGGTTGAGCACAGCCTCTACCTCGGAGAAGGGCCGCAGGCACACCAGGTCCTCGTTGATGGAGTAGATCTTGCGCCCCGCCTGCAGGCCGGCCATCTTGGGAGACAGGAACATGGGTTACCAGCCCCCTGCCTGCTCACCCAGGAGCCCTCACGCGTCCTCAATCACAGGCCCTCTGCAGTGAGGGGTTAATGGGCACGGCACACCTGGCATGGCGCCCACCAAGCAGCCACAGAAGGAAGCCCGCCGGAAGGGCAGGCAAGGGAGCAGCGTCCTGGGGAGGAACCGCCCACGCCTGCCCATGGCCTGGGGACTCGTGCCTGCGAGGGCTTGGCCGAGACAGTGGGGGACACGCGGACCGGGCCACCGCTCCACCCTTGCCCCATCACAAAGAAGGTGAGGCTGCAGTGGGTAAGCTGAGAGCCGGACGGCACAGCCCCCCTCGTCACACAGAGAGGGTCTGGGGCTGAATCCTTGGCCTGCCACAGACCCCCTCTCCCGACCTGTGCGTCCACGACAGCAACGCACCTGTCTCACTCCCGCCACTGCGCCCTCATCACAGAGGGCTGGGAAGACTGAGACTAGGAGACCTCTGCTTTCCCGTGGACTCCCCTCAGTGTCCACGAGGGGGCGCAGGCGGGCCACAATAGGAGGACCGTGCAGAGCAGCCAGGATGCCAGCTCCCCAGCAGGCAGTCACACACACACACACACACACACACACACACACTCGCACACGAGGGTAGGTCCTGGACTCGCATTCCCACGAGGGTACTGCCAGAGGAGGAGCCAGCCTCGCACACCATGGAGTGCGCCCTCCCAGCCGCCACATGAGGCCCAGGGCCTCACCTCGGCCAGTGAGCCCTTCTGCACCGACTTCACCACCACAGCCTTGTTCTTCTCCTCGATGTCGAAGCCGTAGTCCTCCTCCTGGGGCAGGATCTGAGGGACACAGCAGGAGAGCCCCATGGCACCCCGCTCCTGGGGCGGGCTGCGGGGCAGGGGCCTCAGGGGAGCAGCCAGACCCGGGGCAGCCCTGGACAGAGCGGAACATGAGCCACGCCTGGCCCTCGGGGTGCTCAACATACCCTACTCCAGAAAGTTCTTGGAAAACGGAATGAAAAGCTAAGTCTATTTGGGTACAAAAAATGTTTAACTCCAAGCACAGTTTCCTTACAACACACGCTCTTCCCCGAGCTTTCTGCAGACCCACGTCTACACCAACGTCAAGTCGCCTTCTGATTCCATTTGGCCTCAAACTATCCAAGTCCCCTCGGACAAGGCTCAGGCGGGGCCTGTGCTGTGCCCCCTGCAGTTCACTGCCTGTGTCCCCCGTCTGCTCCCACCTGGGGACAGCCTCCTCTCTTAGGCGCCACTGATTTCCCCAGACTGGTATACTGCAGACACTCAATAAATGTCCACAGGCCTGGAAACGCATGCATTCGCTCAACAAACATCTACTGAGCTGCTGCCCCCGCATGCAGCAGGTGCTCTGGGGGAGGCTGGAGGTCCTGCTCGACAAGGCAGGTGGCCCTGCCCACAGGGAGCCACGTGTGGTGGGGACACGTGGCACACGTGGCTTGAATCAATGTGAAGCGCTTAAGGGGTCAGGGCACGGCATGGCAGGGGGCCAGAGGAGGGGCTATCTGAACTCAGACCTGACAAGTGGGAAGCGGAGTTGGGCCAGGTGCTCCGGGCAGTGAGCACAGCCTGTGCGAAGGCCCCGAGGCTGGCTGCACGGCCCTGGAGGACAGGACAGAGATGAGGGTGGCCGGGGTGCAGTGCGGAAGGGAGAGAGAGCCCAGGAGATGATGCTAGAGAGGCAGGAAGGGTCTCGCAGGCCACAGGCACAGCTTGAATTCACAGTGACAGAGAAGCAACTAGAGAGACAGGTCCTAGAGGGAGAAATGAAGGGGCCATCTTCTTGGTTCTCAGACGCAGCTCCAGCCCTGGTGGTGCAGGGGACCCAACCTCTCTGTGCCTCCCTGGGCTGTCCACTGGGGGCCACACATGAGCAGAGGCTTCGTGCATCAGCGGGCAGAGAAACAGGACTGGTGGGCTAGACTGGCAGAGTCTCTGAGCAGGGCAAACGCTTGCCTCAACTGTAAGGGTCTTTACAGCACTGGGCACAGACAGGGCGCCAGGCTCCGAGACCAGCAGCCCCAGGGCATGCAGGACGCGTCACGTGACCCAGCTGCAGTGGGGAGGACAAGGCCGGGAGCCGGGCAAGACCAAGCCCCTCCAGGAGACTGGCAGAGAAGCCCGCGGACGGCTTGACGCCCAGAGCCGAGCCCCCTTCCCTGGCTGCAGCCTGAAGGCCCCCCCGCCCCCAGGCCCCCAGGAAGGAGGTGCAGCGGCTGAGCCTGCTCCTACCAGCAGGCGCTTGGCCAGAATGTTCTCCAGCAGCCGGAAGTCGTTGCGGAGCTGCTTGTTCCTGCTGCTGGTTCCCTCCATCTCCTCGTCGGCGTGGAAGCGGAAGTACTGGGACTCGTCCTTGAACTCGCTCTTCTCTAGCACTGCAGAGCACGGCAGGCAGGTTAGACGCATGCCCGGGCCGGCGGCAGCCCCCGGCCAGTGGGGCTTGGCCCATACACTGCTGCTGCCAGTGCTGGCACAGCGGGACACTCGCTCCCGGGGCTGGCTGGCTGAGCTCGCCTGAAAACCCCACACCTAGCCCACCCATGGCAGGGCCATCCTGCAGGGCCACAGTTACAGGCAGCAGGGCAGCCTTGGGCAGAAACAGGCAAAGGACCAGCAGAAGAGACGTGAGCCGCATACAAGGACGATGGGGTTATGGGAATTCCGTACATGCTGGGTCATAAAGGCACACCTGGGGTTTTCTGCAGATAGAAAACTGCTAGGAAAATTGATTCACTTCAGGGTGAGATTAGGGATAATGTCAATCCCTGCGCACACGGTGCACAATCCCTGCCCACACCGTCTATAATCCCTGTCCACACCGCGTACAGTCCCTGCCCACACCATGTGCAATCCCTGCTCACACAGTGCACAATCCCTGCCCACACCGTGTATAATCCCTGCTCACACGGTGCACAATCCCTGCCCACACCGTGTATAATCCCTGCTCAACCATGTATAATCCCTGCCTACACCGTGTATAATCCCTGCTCAACCATGTATAATCCCTGCCTACACCGTGTACAATCCCTGCCCACACCGTGTACAATCCCTGCCCACACCGTGTACAATCCCTGCTCACACGGTGCACAGTCCCTGCTCACACCATGTGCAATCCCTGTCCATACCGTGTACAAGCCCTGCCTCACACTGTATACATCAGCTCCCACTGGATTAAAGACCCAAGTAGGAACAGTAACACTAAAGCTAAGGAAAGGAAAGCTGTCCAGTCACGGACAAGGCCCTCCTAAAGGCTCGCAGGCAGATGGCGGATTCGAAGATAAGAGGAGCAACAAGGGATAAAGATTTAGAAATACTGGAAGAAGCAAACACTCTGACAAACCAATCGGACGCAGGCAGGAAGCACAGCTGGAAGGGCAGAGTGTGAAGAGGCGATGGACAGACAGGGAAAGCCACAGCGAAAGCAGGAACGCCCCCGTCAGATCCTTGGCAGAGGGACCAGCACACTAATCCTGGTGCAGGCCCCACCTGCCCACTCCTCGTCCCTCTTATAAATAAAGTTTTATTGGAACAGAGCCCCACGCATCTGCTCACATACTTTCTGTGACTGCTTTCAAGACTCAATGGCCAGGTCGAGTAACTGTGACCAAGCCTGGGTGGCCACAAAGCCTCCACTTTTACCACCTGGCTCTTTACAGTATGCTGACCTCTGACCCCTACAAGCCAGGAAAATGACAAAACATAACCAAGAACAACTAACACAGGACCCAGTGCCTGGGCTCACAACCTGAGCACTTACGAATGCCAGGCATGCTGTGGATCCGTGCTATGCGCGTTAAGTCCAGGGACAAGGAAGGGTCTGCTGCACCCCTTTTACAGATTGGGAGACGGAGGCCCCGAGAAGCTCAACAAACGCCCAAAGTCACAGAGCCAGCAGCAGCAGCAGCAGCAGCAGTGCCCCCACCAGGCTCCTCCCCTTCCCTCTGCTACGACAGGGCAGGGATGAACATGGCCAGTACCCAAAGAGGAACTCGAAGCTCGGGGAGGGAGAGGCAGCTGTCCGAGGTCAGCGGGCCCCTGCCGCAGGAGAAATGGCTGCCTCAGCCGCGAGACGTCCGTCCCTGAACACAGGGCCCTGCCCCGATCTGGGGGCCACATGGGAGACGTCCGTCCCTGAACACAGGGCCCTGCCCCGATCTGGGGGCCACATGGGAGACGTCCGTCCCTGAACGCAGGGCCCTGCCCCGACCTGGGTGCCACATGGGAGACGTCCGTCCCTGAACGCAGGGCCCTGCCCCGACCTGGGGGCCACATGGGAGACGTCCGTCCCTGAACGCAGGGCCCTGCCCCGACCTGGGGGCCACATGGGAGACGTCCGTCCCTGAACGCAGGGCCCTGCCCCGACCTGGGGGCCACATGGGAGACGTCCGTCCCTGAACGCAGGGCCCTGCCCCGACCTGGGGGCCACATGGGAGACGTCCGTCCCTGAACGCAGGGCCCTGCCCCGACCTGGGGGCCACATGGGAGACGTCCGTCCCTGAACGCAGGGCCCTGCCCCGATCTGGGGGCCACATGGGAGACGGTCCGTCCCTGAACGCAGGGCCCTGCCCCGATCTGGGGGCCACATGGGAGACGTCCGTCCCTGAACACAGGGCCCTGCCCCGATCTGGGGGCCACATGGGAGACGTCCGTCCCTGAACACAGGGCCCTGCCCCGATCTGGGGGCCACATGGGAGTGGCTGCACATGCGGAACTCTCCCCACTGCACCATCACCGCCCCTCCATGGTGGCAGCGTCACCCCACTGCAGGCATCGAGTCGGGAGGCTCGGGAGTGGGCGCAGGAACGGGCACGTGGGGGAAGGTCGGCCAAACACGGTGAGGACTCCCTCATGCCCACGAGCCATGCCAGGTCGGGCCCCAGCCACGACCCCTGCAGCCAGGCCCGGGGCCAGCGCCCAGGCTTCATCATGCCAGGAGCCCCTACTGCCTCCGCTTCCCGCTGGCGAGGACAGGGGCAGCACCCGCGTGAGGGGTGGCTCTGGGATGCCACACTCAGCCTCAGTTTCCCTGTACCTGCCTGGTGTGAGAGGGCAGCAGCCCCGACCACAGGGCCCGGGAGGCTGGGTTCAGACCCCACGGTCGGCGCCCGCCCTGTCCCCGGGACGTGGCCCTTTCCTATTTTAGCTCCTGAGCTCGTGGCAGGCAGCTGGGAGCGAGGCCACACCCTGCAATTTCTCTCTCCTGGGGCCCTGTGGCCTCGGGGTCGCCTCGGCCAGAGCCTTCCCGGAATAGCAGCTGGGGCGGACCCCTAATTACACCCTCCCTCAAATGAGAGGTTCTGTCCGTGGAGACACAAGGGCTTCTGGGAAGAAGGGACTCTGGTGAGACGAGGCGGATGAGTGGGCCCAGCCTGCCACCTCCCTGGGTGCCCGGCAGCTGGGGAGGCAGTACCCCACCCACAGAACCGCGGGCACACTGGGGATACTGAGGCCCAAGAGGAGGCCGCTGGCTACAGAAGGCAGGGTGGGCCTGATGGCCTACCCTCGTGCTGCTGAGGGGACAGCGTATCCAGCAGGGGCCCAGAACTTCCGGCTCACCACTGGGCTTTCTAAATAAAGCTTTATTGACAAGCAGCCACACCCGTGTGCCTGCTCAATGCTGCAGCTGCCCCGGGTGCTACCAAGGCAGAGCCGGGCTCTGCGACAGAGGCCACAGAAACCAAAACCTGGACTCCTGGGCCCTGAGTCAGAACAGAGCAGCCGAGAGCGGAGGGGACATGGCCTCAGAGCCTCTAGGATCATGATCACTCCTCCTGTTCCGCAGCCACCACTGCGTCCCAGCCACGCTGCCCTGCCCTGGACCACGGCCAAGGCCTCCTCCCGGACCTCGGGCCCCAGGACTCCCAGGAGAAGAGCTCCAGGAAGAAAAGCAAGTCCCAGCTAGAACGGAGGGCGACCAAGGGCAGCAGGGAGGCCTCCCTGGGGAGACGGCAGCAGTGCCAAAAGCCTGAACCAGGTGAGGCGTGAGTAAGGTGGAGCAACGCAAGCAGGGAAGCTACAAGGGCAAGGCCCTGAGGAATGTTCTAGAAACCAGGAAAGGTGCCTTGGCAGGGGTTGGACGGTTTCCCCCCCAGGGGCCGACGACGGGGAGGCTGCAGAGCACAGGGACCCCTGACCGCCTGGCTGTCTCCCTCTCACTTGCACTTTGCCTGGCTGCTGCCCCCGACTTGAGCCATCAGAAGTCCCCAGGCCAAGCCTACAACCTCGGGCCGGGCTGGGAGGCCATGTCCAGCACGGGAAGCAGTGCCTGGGAAGCCCAGGGATCAACTTCAAGTCCTGCTCCCTGGGCTGCGCCGGTGCGCAGGGGCCCCTACAGGTGGTGTGCACACGGCCAGGCGGGGTGGGGCTTACCGTGGTGCATGAAGCCGTTGTTGCACAGGCCCACGCCCAGCGCCACAGCCTCCTCCCGCGTCTGGCAATCTCCCTGCAAAGAAATGAGAGGGGCACGGGGTTAGGGGGCTGGTGGCCACGCACCGGGCGGGGGGTCCTTGAGTTTACGCCAGACTCCCCTCACTCGCATGTGATGAGGAAGAAACCCCAGAAGACAGTCACCTCGCCATGCCCGTGTGAACACCTCGAAGGTGAGACGGACACTTCACACAGCAGACACTGCTCACCACCCAACAGCCCTCCCCGACCCCTCCCCAGAGACAGAAACCTCAGCCTCTTCCCAGCATCGCTTGCAGCTAGAGGCTGATGAGACAGAAGCAGAAACCACTGGCAGGTAGGGCACACTAGCAAAACCCTTTGCCTTTTTTTTTTTTTTTTCCCTCTTGCCTCCTGGGACAAAGATGTGATGGCTGGAGTTCCTGCAGAGCTCCTTGCAAAGTAACCTCAAGGAAACCTGCTAGGGACGGCAGACAGACAGACAGATTTGTCTGCATACAGGAGATGTCAATTAAAAACAAAAAACTTCAGAGACTCAGAGGAGCCTAGTGGTATTTGGCCGAGCGGTTGAGACCCCGGCACCCTATCCCGTATCCTATCCTGTACTGTGGTGCCTGGCTCCAGCCCGACTGTAGCTTCCTGCTGGTGCACACCCAGGGAGGCAGCAGGTGTGGCTCAAGTCAACGGTCTCCACCACTGACGTGGGAGACCTGCACTGGGTTCCAGCCCTGAGCCTCAGCCTCAGCACAAGCTCAGCCGCGGCAGGCCTTTGGGGAGTGAAGCAGGGGATGGGAGTGTCCCCTCGTGCTCCGTCTCTGCTGGGAGCGAGGCTCCAGCAGCCATGAGCACCGACCTCAGGACCTCTCTCTCTCATATAATACAAGCCTCAGCCCCTGCGGCTGTGTCTAACACCAGGGCTCCGCGTTCACTGGCAGCTCCAGTGCCCTCCCAGGTGAACCCATAGCCCCAGCACTCGGGGCTGAACAGATTTAATGTGAGTTTGTGAGGCCACAGTTTAAATGTTTTGTCCCCTCTGCAATTCACAGGAAAACTTTACACCCAAGGCCATGGGGCGGGGGCTGGGGGGTGGTAGCAGATGTGGGGCCGCGTGGGCATGTCCTGGGGAAGGGGGGCACCCTCCCCAGCAGGCGGCAGCAAGCCCCGCCCTCCCAGATGCCCGGCAGGCCAACACCTGGACCCTGGCCTCCCGCCTCCGGAGCTGTTAGAAACCCATTTCTGTTCTTTGTGAGTGACTCCTCCTTAGAGCGGCGCAGTCATACTAAGACACGTGTGTCAGAATGCCCTTCACCCCTAAACAGGAAACTGTGACACTGCCCATGGCACAGGTGAGCCCTGCAAAGCCCAGCCCCGCGGCTCTATGGACCGGGCGGCTCTATGGACCGGCTGCAGGTGCAGGTTGGTGGGGGTGGGTGGGCGTGGCTGCTTAAGGGAAGCGAGCTCAGGAAGATGCCAGGAAGCCTGTGCGGAGGGCGGCGACCACACGCCTGGTCCCTGGGAAAGGCAGTGAAAGGCGGATTCTGCCCCAGCTGAAAGTAACAGGGAAAGCAGCAGAAGAGGTGGCAGCGGCCCCGCGCCGCAGCCCTCGGCGGCCTCACCTGCGCCAGCAGCCAGTCCACCAGCTTGCTCCCGGGAAGCACCGACTTGTAGGTCTTCAGGTGGTAGTCGCGGTCTCTGCGGAGGAGGGCGCCGTGAGCAGGGGCTGACGCCCTGCCGCACATGCTGGGCGGTGGACATGCCAGGCTCCCGAAGCTGAGGCCAGGGGGTCCCAGCCTCAGCCCAGACCCCACATCCGACTTGGCTCCCCTCCTCCCGTAGCCAAGGGCAGGAGGGAGGTTCTAGGATCTCCAGCCCAAGGGCCCTCAGCAGGATGGGGGAGGGGGGCGGGTCTGCTCTTCTGTCTGGAGACGGCTGGGGCTGTCATAACCTGGGGGCCGGGAGCAGGGGTGCCACTGGCATGGGGGGTGGCAAGGGCTGCAAGTGCCAAGGCTGGGCAGCCCCGCTTTAAGGGAGAAGTGACGGGAATCCCTCTTCCCTTCCCTTCCCTTTCTGATCTGTCGGTGGCGCTCAGGTGTCTAAAGACACAGCTACACCCAGGGGCGGGGCGGGCAGGCCAGGAGGACGGCAGCACAGGGGAGGCCCCCCGGTGCTGGCCCCGGGGCAAGGAAGTGACTCGGGACTCTGGGGCCCCCGCACTCCCCTGCTGGCCCAGGATGGAGGTCTGCAGATGAGACAGGTGCCCGGGACCAACCTTGCACAGGGCCAGCAGGAGCCCCTGAGAGGTCACAGGAATGCGGGATCAGGGGCAGAGAACCCGGGAGACCCCTCGGTCTCCTCACCCACAGCTCTAAGCCTCGTGATGAAGACACCAACCAATCACTGGCATTTACAGGTGCCTTCAGTAAATGCCACCCTCATCCGAGCCCACGAGGCAGGAGCCTTGCTTGCGTCCATCACGCAGAGGCACAAACAGAGGCCAAGGCCGGTCACTGCCTTCCAGCATTCACTCCACAAACATCACCAAGCGCTCTTCTGCGCCAGATACGTGCTCCCCAATTGCAGATTTGATTTAAATTTCCATCCATTGAAGCCGAATCAAGTCATACTCCCAGTCTCAAGTGTGGCAAAGCCACGTGGGACCGGGGCTGCCAGACAGGACGACAGGGGCTGTTGAGTGTGCTGGGCCCAAGGCAGCCAACACCTCCCTCCCTTCAGTGGGCTTCCAATTCAGTTGGGAGAAAACACATAGACAAACATACATGATTATAAAGGAAAAGTAGGGACAAATTTTAAGAAGAAAACCAAAGTTAGAGAAAATGAAAGAGTCCCAGGGCAGTGACTTTTTACAAAGGTGGCCAGAGAGGTCTCCTCTGATCAGAAGACAGCAGAAGGAGCTAAGGGAGCAAATATGAGGACCTGCAGGAAGAGAGCATGGCGGGGTGGGGGGGTCAGCAAAGGCCCTGGGATAGATCCAACTATTATCCCCATTCCTGAGACACGGGGGGATTAAATAACTGCCTAAGGTCACAAGCTGGCACCCGGCAGGCAGATTCAGAGACTGCGGAGCCCACAGCTTTCACCATCATAGCAGGGACTCCCAGAGAGGAACCATGACAGCCAGCCCCATTTGGTGGAAAAGGAGGTTAAGTTGTGGCCAGAGAGAAGACTTACTTGATCACCGGGGTGTAGAGGCTGTGAAGGCGGCAATACAGCCTCACGCCCTGCAAGGAACAAGGTGGGGGAGTGGAGGTCAGGGGGGGCCTCCAGGTCCAGGCTGCCAGGAAAGGGGCCCCCAGGCAGGTGGAGGTGGGGGCAAGGGGCAGGGGCACAGGAGCAGGGGCCACAGCGCCTCTCACCAGGGGCTGCCCACCTTGGATGTGACATCCTCCAGCTCGCTCCGTGCCTTGTAGGTGCCGTCGTCGTAGCGGAAGCGGTACATCACCTGTTCATTCTTGAACTGGTGCTTGTCGGAAACTGGAGAGAGCTAGGGCTCAGGGGTGAGGCCAGGCACACCCCCTCGGCCTCTCCTGACCCACAGCCCCCAGCCTCAGCCTCCCGCCTCAGCCTCCCCTGGGCCAGACTCCACGCAGGCACAGGGTGACTGAAGCCGCTGCCAAATGAGGAAACCAGGCCCTCTGCTTCTGCTGTATCCGGGGCCCCACTGACACCTGCGGCCTGAGGCAGGGGTACCTGCAGGGGTGATGGGCCCAGCAACGCCCGAGACCCAGCTCAGCCCGTCCTTGGATCTACATCAGCAAAGGACGTGGCGGGGAGCCAGCATGCTGCTGTCGGAGACCATGCGCTCACGTGCACAGAACCCACTCGCTGTACACAGCATCCCTGAAGCCACCCTTGGTGCTTCGGATCCATCAGCAAACCCTTAAGCCCTGCCCTCGAAAGTATCAGGACTCTGACCTGCATACCCCCACGTGGTCAGAGCTACTGCCCCCTTCCGCCCGGATCACCAGCCTCCTGGGGGCTCCCTGCTGCCGCCCTGGGCCCAGGGGAAGCCTGCTCACGAGCAAGCCAGGCAGGGCCTCCCACTGCAAACACAGTAACAGCTTTGTCTCCCCCGGGGCAAAGCATCCAGCCCTATAAACCCCCACGAGGTCCAGGACCGCTCACTCGGAGCCAACCGTGCTGGCCTCCCGGCTGCTCCTGAACAAACCTCTTCAGGCCCTTGCCTGAGAACTTCGCGGGGGCTGTTCCCTGCCTGGAACTGATGCCCACCTGGCTCGCTCTCTCCCTGCTCAGGTCCTAGTTCTGGCCACTTGGGGAGGCCTGGCCCCACCCATACTCAACGCTGACCCTTTGGCGCCCTGTTCTGCACTCTCCCCAGCACCTACACCGCCCATCTCCCACTTGGTAGCACAGCTACCAAGTCAGCTCCCAGGTCTGCTGCACCTGCCAGGCAGTGGGCACCCAGGAAACTGGGGCTGAGCTCCTGAATGTGAACACATGGCTCCAGCCCTTTTGGAAGGGGCCCCACTGCCCTGCCCTTGAGTTTTTGAGCTGACGCTGCCTACTGGTGCTCTAGGGGAATGCTGGGTTTTACAAACGGGAAGCAATTTGACAGTGTTCACACTCCGGGGACCAGGCTGTGCCAGGGAACAGGCAGCTGCACAATAGGGCAGGCACAGCCTGTGGGGAAGCGGCTGGAGCAGGCCCTGTCCCTGCCCGCCCCCTGCCCCACGCCCACCACTCACCGTGGTGGATGATGCCATTCTCCAGTAGGGCTTGGCCCAGGTTGACCCCTTCCTCCGTCTTGCTGATTTCGCCGATCTCCAGGAGCCAGGCAACAAACTCACTGCCAGGGACACAAGGGGCAGCTGAGAGGACTCCCCCAGTCCCAGGGCCAGTGCCTAACCAGCCTGGCCACAGGCACCCCAGGAATGACACCTGCAACCCCCAACAGCAGAGCAAAGCTTAGGGCCCACAGATTTTGGGCCAACGTCAGACAAGTGGGCATGCCTACTGAGGACAGATGGGGGTGGGGGGAGGATGGATGGATGGATGGATGGAAGGGGTGGGAAGGAGGATAGAGGGAGGGAGAGAGAGGAAGAGGGATGGAGGGAGGGAGGGAGGGAGGAAGCAGGCAGGTAGATGAGTGGGAGGATATACCAGTGGAGAGACAGAGTATTACTGTAAAGATGGGTAGCTTAGATGGATAACTAGGCAGGGGATGAGTAGGCTGGATGGGTGGTTAGGTGGGGTTAGAGGTAGGTGGATGATGAATATACAGAAGACGGGTAGATGGATGGATGGATGGATGGGTGGATGAGCAGCCAGCTAAGTGAGGGGGTGACTCAGGGATGGATGGGCAGGTGGGTGGATGACTGGACAGAGGAACCGGGAAGTACATGGGTGACTGGGTGGGTGGATGGTGGGTGGGCAGAGGGACAGATGGCCAGCCACGTGCATGGGAGGGTGCACAGGTGGGTGGATGGGTGGATGACTTGACAGGTAAGTGACTGGTGGGGGCAGGGGAGGGCACAGGTAGAAGCTGGGTGGACAGATGATTGGGGTGGCTGAGTAGGGGATGGACAGTGGCTGGGTAGGTGGGTGAATAGAAGGGATCAATAAACAAACAGGGACCCCAGAAAGATGAATGTGGGGAGGTGAGAGCCAACAGTGATCCAATCACATCACTCCCCACTGAAAGTCCTCGATGGGCATCCCCACAACTTGGGAAAATGCCCGAACTCAGCCAGCGAAGACGACAGGACCTTGTGTGATCTGTGCCACCTGGCTGCTGCCATATCTCACACCTCTCACTCGGGCTTTAGCCATACCCACCCTCTTTCCCGTCTTTGAAAGTACCAGGCTCCTGCCTGCCGCAGGGCCTTTGCACTTCCTGGCAGTGCTGTCCCTGGCTCTTCATGTGACTGTTCCTTTTCATCCTTCAGGCCTCAGAGAAGCCTTCCCTGACCACCTGGCCCAAGGCAGCCCCTCGCGCCGACAGCACCCACGTCTGGTCAGTGGCTTCTCTGCACTGTCTGCTGTGTTTACATGTTTATCAGCCATCCCCTCCTCCGAGCAGAAGGTAACCTCCCCTGAACAGGGGCTTTTGTTGTACTCAGGGCTCCAGCAGCCAGCAGCTGAGCGCCTAACACACAATAGGGCTCATTCACTGGACGGATGAAGGAACGAGCAAACCATCCACAAGGAGGAGTGCTCTGGAAGACGGGAAGCCTTCCCAACCCCAGTGTGACTGCCCAGGGGGCAGAGGCTCAGCCAGGTCCCCCAGGTCCTGGCTCTCGTGGGTGCATCTTGGGCTCGGCACAGAGCTCCATCCACATCCAAGTCAGCAGGAGAAGGCAGAGCCAGGAGCCGGGCCAGGGCTGCTGCCTCAGTGAACGCGGGCGGCAGCCAGCCACTCTCTGCGTCTCTCACCAGCTGTCCCACCTTCAATTACATGCCAGTGGGGGGAGTGCTATGTTTAGCTTTCTGCCTGGTGTGTGGATAGCAGAGTGCTGGGGCGGTCACAAGGCCCCCCTGAAAGCCAAGGGGGGTGGATAAAGGAACCTATTTGTGCGACAGTGGTCCAGATGGGACAAGGCTGCTCTGGGTCCTGTCCCCTCCCTACCCCAGGGCCCATCCTCAATGTCCCTAGACCCAGGGGCACAGAGAAAGCTGCCTGCAGCTGAAGGAAGCCAGCAAGGTTCTGCATAACCTAGGGACGCCTCAGTCAGCTGCCCACCAGCTGTTGGACAGAGGGCCACCTCTGGCAGGAGCCCACAGTCCTGTGGCCAGGCTGGGGGGACAGGAAATGTGTCATAGCAGCTGTCGGGCCAAGGACAGTGACTCTGACTCATGTGTCTGGTCTTGCCACCTTCCCGGGGACAGAGAAGGGTTCCTAGCTTGCTGGGCCATGGGGCAGGCACGTGTCCCTCTCTGCAAGGTCCATCTGGCAGGGGGTTCCCTTGGGGCTCTTCTGGATTCGGCAGGGACAATTCTATCATCAGAGAAGTCGTTGGCTGGGATGCAGGGTGCAAAACCAGACAGAACTCATCTCCAGGGCAGGCAGCGCCAAGCCCAGACCAGAGCACAGCAGCCAGGCGGAGCTGTGCAGCCCCAGCCTGTGCCCCCTGCCTCTCAGGACGGCAGCCACTAGGGCAAGGGACACGGCCACATGGGAAGACAGGAGCACAGTACAATTTTCAAGAAGGTGGAAATCCAATCTTTTCCTGTGAAATCTCCCACTGTTACAGGCTGACAGCTAATCCAACGTGGCATCCACAATGGTGCCACGAAAGCCACGGAAAGCACACCTTCCAGCTGCACCAGGGAGGCAGGCGCCATTCACCACCACAGGGTGCAGGGCCGGGGCTCAGCACGCACAGAGGCCCCCGGGGAGTAGTAAGGGATCTGCCTGTTGACAGGGGCTGGGGTGCCAGGGGCCACGGGCTCAGGCTGCCAGGAGGGCTTGCAGCAGCACCGGGTGAGCAGGTCACACAGGGAGATGAGACCCCCGGGTGGATGGGTAGTTTGAGGATCAGGTCGGGGCTGGCTGGGAGCTAGGCTGGGCCGGCTGTCATGCCTGCTTCCTGCCTGCCTGCCTGGCAAACGCCGATTTAGTCTACTTCCTGTCAAGGCCATGGCTGAGCTCTGGGGTCTTCTTAGGACCACACACTGCCCAGCCTGAGAATCCCCTTCCCCTTGCCTGCCTCCTCCAGGGGCCATGACATTCACCCCTGTAACCCTGCGGCTCCAAGGATGCTTCCTGGAGCTGTCCTCTGCAGGGTCTGATCGGGGGCTCCACACGAGCACCCAACATCCGTGCACACAGCGGCGGGAGGGAGGGAGGGACAAGACAACAAAGCCCCCTTCCACCTGGCGCTGCTGCTCTGGCGGATGTAACTGAGTGACAGCTGACCCCTGCCAAGGGAACCAGAGAGCATTCCCTGCCTGCCACTTCCAGACACGGCTCCTCCCCGCTGGTGGGTGAGCTCAGACAGCTGCCGGGCCCTATGCACTCATCTCGCTGACCCCTGAGCCAGGGCCTTGCTGACCTGGGGGGCCCCTCTCTGCTCCTCCTCCACTCACAGCTCCTTCCGGCCTCAGGGCTTTTGTACCTGCCATTCCCCGATCTGGGGAGGCTGTCCCGGACCCTGTTCTGGCTCCTGCGGGGAAGTGTCCAAGCCTGGAGGCCCCTTCCTGGGCCTACCCTGGGGGACCCAGGGCCCTGTTTGCTTTTCTCCTTCCATCAACCCATCTCCCTGCATTGTCCCTGTCCATCAGCTCTGTAGCCATCACCATACACCTGTCTGTTCCCTGAGGATGGGGCCTCCATTTGTCCTGTCCGCTGCTGGCTCGGAGCAGGGGCTTGGGAAACACAGAAGGAAGGAAGGATCTGTTTTCTCTCCTACTGGCCTGAGGCCACCAGAGGGCAAGTATCATGTTCCTCCATGGTGCCCGGCACAGCAGCACACAGGTGCTACTGCTGGCTGTTGGTTCGCTGGGGCACCCTATTACTGTTCCCCTCAGTAGGGCAGAATGGGCTCCTCCATAGACCCACTTCCATGAGACCCAATGCTCAGCCTCACACATTCTCATCCCTCTCGCAGGCTCCACACCACGCCTCTCAAAGGCAGATCTGGGGCAGCCTCCAGCGAGCCAGTGAGGTCCTGTTCATTATCTCTCGCTAACTGGGCAGTCACTGAAACTCAGCCCAGAGTCACCGAGCCAGAAAGTGCAGAAACCAAGCCTTGAGCCCTTGTGGCCCAAAGTCCACCTGGAGAAGTCGTAAAAGTAAATCAGACCCTTTTGTATTCACAGAGTCCTGGCCGACAGCAGAGTCAGACATGGAGAAACCAACGCAATGCACTGAGCAGAGACAGAGGTGAAGAAACGGAGCCCAGTGCAAGGAGAGACAGCGTGAGCTCTGGGGTCCCAGGTCCCAGGTTCAAATCCCAGCCCCTCCTCTGGGCAATGTGATCTTGTACAGAGCTCATCTCTCTCTGGGCTCAGTCCTCTCACCCCTAAAATGAGAACAATGGCAGTGCCTGGCCTCATGTATGTGTGTGTGTGTGTGTGTGTGTGTGTGTGGAGGGGGGGAGAATCCAAGGACCTGGCCTGAAGCCAGCGCACAGAGCACAGGATGGGCTCCGTGGAAATGTCCCTGTGGCAGCCAGCCCCCTACCCCGCAGAGACCAGGGGAGGAGACCCTGGAGCTGGGCAGTAGCAGGGAAGGGGCCCAGGAGAGCCAGGCCAGGCGCGGAATGCAGCCAGGTGGGGGTGGTGTACAGAAGGGTCTCCTACAGGGCCGCTGGCCCCCACACTCAGGAAACCAACTGGGAGCCTGGCCCTGTTTCAAATGCACGGCGAGCGCAATCTCCCCTGATCCTTCCTACGGGGACAGGAGACTCCCCGGAAGCCCTAATCGCAGGCAGGTTACAGCCCATCCGGCTGCACCGAGCAACTTGGCAGGAGGCTGCCAGGTTCTCGGATCCCGGGGGCCGGAAGCAGGCCACCCCACCGTCGAGAGCACAGCCTCCCTCCTGCCTGGGATTAGGATCAGTGAGGGAGCCCGGCCAGCTGGCCCTCCACACCTCCCCAGCCCACACGCCCTCTCCTCAGACCCTCCCAGGCAGCTCACACCTGGGGTGGCTGACCCTGAAGCCAACGAGGCAGCCAGCACCGCTGCCAGGAAACCTCCCCGGCCACCCCCACGGCTGCTCCCCAGCTCCACTCCGGGGCTCCACTGACCCAGCCAACACCAGGCATTTCATCCTCAGCGTGCCCCAAACCGGTCTGCTGCTCCCTCCTCTGGCACCTGCTACCCAACGCCTCTGCCTTTCTTCACCTGGCTTCTGGGAATGCCCCGTCCCCCGGCTCTGACCTGCTCTGACCCCATGCCCGTTCCCGCCTGGAAAATTCTGGAAGGCAAGGCCTTGCTGCCTCCATCTCCAGGCACGTTTCCTCACAGTGCCCACCAGTCTCGTGGCCCACCAGTCAACTTAGGCTAGCGCCTACACTCACGACCCCAGGCCCGAGTTTTCTCTGGGAGCTGAGAGTGCACAGTCAACGTGTCCATGGGTGTCAGACACTGCACACGTGGACTCGGCCCAGCCTCACTCTGCCCCTCCACCATCGTCTTTCCCCTCTCAAGGCAGCAATCCAGCCTCCTGGTGGCTCAGTCCTTAGCTACCCTCGTTTCCAACCCCAGCAGCAAGTGCTGTCACCTTCCGGATGTCCAGAACACCACCGCCTCCCCCATCTCTACGGTGACCGTCCCCGTCCAAGCAGAGCCCAGGTCCAAGTCCTAGTGCACCCGCTCCAGAGCACTGGGACAATGCAGCGCGCTGCACTTCAGGCCTCTTCAAATGCCCTGAGGGAAGCGGGCATCAGCATAGTGGTTTTTACAGCTGCACCTCACCCTGGAGTGCCTGGTCTGACTCCTGGTTCCAGTTCTGACTCCAACTTCCTGCTGACACAGAGCCTGGGAGGCTCAAGTCACTGGGATCCTGCCACCCACACGGGAGACCTGGCTTAGGCCCCAGCCGAGATACAGTAAACCAGCAGATGGGGGTGTTCTCTCTTTCTCCCCCAACCCCAATAAAAATTTTAAAGCAAAAGCTTTGGGGAAGTGCTTTGGGGTTAAGAGCTAACAAACTCCAGACACAGCCCCCGCCTGCCACATAGCCAGCTCCTCAGTGGGAGCCTGCACCCTGTGAGGCCGCGAGTGGGGTACGGGGAACTCTGTGTGCCTCCTCCCTGCTCCCCACTCCTTCCAGGGTGTCCGGTGCACAGCAGGGACTTGAAGCAGCCTGAAATGCTATAAGGACTGAATTTCCTCTGTCTTCTCCTTCCTCAGCCCCCGCCCCCAGGTGAGTGACCTTTGACACTAGGCGAGCCAAATTCAAAACACAGTCTGTCACAGCTGGGCTAGGGCCACCTTGAGCCTAGGTTCCAGAGGGGGTACCAGGCTTCCCGGTGAGGGAAAGCGAAGGCCCCAGTACCAAGGCACTTATCCACTCCCCTCCCCCACTGCACTCAGGGCCAGAGGCCCCATCACACACTCCTGCCACCCCAAACACCTTGATGTCGGGTCCCCAGGACTGTTGTTGAAGTTCTGGCCTGCAGTGCCCCCAAGGGCAGGCCCTTGCTCCCCCAGCTCTGCCCACCAGCTGTAACAAACCCCTTGCACTCAGCACCCCTGGATTGAAATGGCCACAGGAGCGTGTCTCTCCCAAGAACTACAGCAGCACTTTGCAAGCCATGGCGGCCAATGCTTAGAGGTCTGTGAAACCAAAGCCATCGGTGTTGCCAGCATTTTCAGAAATGATAGAGAAGCAACTGGTGTAGGACAGGATGGGACAGGATGCGACAGAATACACCAGAATAGAAACAGGTATCTTCAGAGTGCACCATGCACAGCAAGTGCCGGGAAACCTCGGCTCAACCATCTGTGACACGAACACGTGTGGCAGATCCCCCCGTGACACCTGTACTTTGCAGCAGGCTACGGTCAAACTCGCGTCACAGACCTGACACGGCAACCCCACCAGCCTCCCTGACCCTGAGGCCTGGGCCACAGCTCTCCCAGGAGGGCACTCGCGGGAGAGGCAGGGCCGGGGATGCGGAGAGTCAGCCCCTCTGGCCTGCAGCAGAGAGCCGGGGGCCCGGGGAGCACTCACTTGCCGAGGAAGCACTTGGGCACGGTGCTCAGCTTTCTCCGCCGGTCCTTGATCAGGCTCACCTTCCTGCTCATCATCAGGTGGTAGAGCTTCTCGCCCTTCTCCGCGATCATCACGTACGCGTCCCGCTCCATGCCCAGCTTGAGGCCTGCACAGGGCACAGTCAGTACTGGCAGGAGCACCTGCCTGGCTGTCAGCCACGGCCCAGGCACATGCCACGCACTCCTTAAACCACCTCACAGATGGGAAGGTGGAGACCCAGTGAGGCCGAGGCCTGGAGTACCGGGGACCATGCCATTTACCCAGGAACCACATCCTTAATTGCTTTCCTACGCTGCCTCCACAATGGGAGGCAAGGTTTCCAAATCCATAGGTCCTCAGGACACATGCTAGGGCCACCAGCCCAGCCCTGGGATAGAAGCCCGGGCTGTTCTTCCGGACAGCACACACAGGACTCTGACCCTAATCTCTGCCCATATTCTTCCACCGGGGCCGGTGAGGACAAAGCAGCACAGTAGGTGCTCTGCTGGCACCAGTACGTGCCATCACAGGAGAGCCCACGGCTGTCCTCACTCTAGCACCCGAGGCCTCGAGAAGTTAGAGGCAGAAGTCTGGTTCCAGATCTGGGCTTCTGACCACAGCAGGCCCTGCCCCTATGGACCCACTTGGACAACCCACAATTCTGACAACCAGGCTCACCCCAGCTGCTCCCCACACCCAACCACATATGCCCAGCACTACCACAGCCCTCCACTCTGACCACAGAGATACTGATCGGCCCCGCCCAGGCCAGGCCATGCCTCAGAACCCCACCCATCCTGGCCACATACCCAGGCCTGGTCAGTTTTAGGGGACACAACCCTGCCCAGCCAGGGGCCAAGTTCAGTGGCTGGCTTGAGTGAGTGTTGATAAAACATCTACTATCCGCAGCTATCACCTACTGATCCATCTGCTGGATGCTCTGGAAGTGCCGGGTCCCTGAGGATGCTGGAGAGTCGCACTCGGGTAGAAGGAGGGGCACCTGGGCACAAGTGTGTGGGACCTGCTGGGGACTGCGGCCTGGGGGGACCAGGGCTGCCACCCAGAGCCTGCCTCGCCACTCCTCTGGGAAGGGAGGACCCCAAGATGCAGACGTAGGTTTGGGGCAGAGGGTCAAGTGGAATCTCAGAATCATGATTCAGATGTGGCCGGTGTGAGGCATCCATGACACAGCCAAGATGGGGACTACAGAAGGCCCACAGGGTGCACACACAGGGAGCACAGGCCCAGGCTCCAACCCTGTAAACCGAGAAGCTGGGAAGCACTTAAGGCCCTGTGGCATTTCCAAGTGTGGTCAGATCCGAGGCCTCACGGAGCAGCATCAGAATCCTCCCCATAGCCTGCGGGCACTGTGGGACAGCCACCTATCCGGGGGCCTGGTTCCAGCCCCAGCTGCCCCACTTCCCATCCAGCTCCCTGCTAATCCACCTGGGAAGGCAGTGGAAGATGGCCCAAGTCCTTGGGTCCCTGCCACCCACATGAGGGACCCGGATAGAGTTCCTGCCTCCTGGCTTCAGCCTGGCTCAGCCCTAGCTATTACGGCCCTCTGGGGAGTGAACCAGCAGATGGAAGATCTTTCCTTCTGTAACTCTTTCAAAATAAATAAAATAAATCTCTTAAAAAAAAAAAAAAGAAAAGAAAAGAAATGTAAGGAAGGGAGGAAGCCCTGGCCCCACACCCCGGGCCTCCATTTTCCCAGCCTGTGGTCCCTGGACAACTACTCAGTGCCATGACGCAGTTCAGGGCCCACCTCCAGCCCACTCAGCCTCTGCCTCCTGTGCCCACGGACTCTGAGGCAGCATGAAGAACCTCCCTCTAGACTCGGCGAATGTGAAAGGCGGCCACAGGCTGGGGGCTCGGGGTGTGCGGGGAAAGGGGGCCTCTTGTGCTCTAGCCCTCAAAGGTGGAGACCTGGGCAAGCCCCTTCCCCGGGCCTCGTTCCCCGGTCTGTCTGGCGGGCAGTCTCTGCAGCACTGCCACGTCCAGGCAGTGCTGAACGTGCTTGCCGCTCTAATCGTTCTGGAAAGAGCCCTCTAGCCCTGCCCCAGGAGCAGCCCTCACAGCAGAGCGCGCAGCCGGGCAAGCCCCGAGAGCTGCCACTCACTCTCGCGCTGCTCTCGCTCGCGGATGATGGCGTCCAGCCACTTCTGCTTCTCCTCTGCTGTCTTGGCCATGCAGACGAACCACTTGTTCTTGGCAGTGTTGTGGATCTTCCAGCCGTTGGTGACAGTGTAGCCATTGCTGTGGTAATCAGCTGGCAGGGGAGGGAGGCGAAGGCTGTCAGACCCTCCACGAGCCCACGGCACACTGGCAAACCCACGTGAGAATACCCGTCCCACCCTGGGGGGACCAGGGCTGCCACCCAGAGCCTGCCTCGCTGCTCCTCTGGGAAGGGAGGATCCCGAGATGCAGACGCACACCGTGGCAGGACCATCAACAGGATCAGGTTTGGTAGCTGAACGCTCAGTCCTGAAATGCTCATGCCCCATCCTGCTAATCCCCTGTGGGTGAGAGAGACCTGCAAAGACCCTCGGGACCCCTCCACTGCAGGAGGCTTAACTCATAGGAGACACCTGCCCAGGGCCTGCACCCCATCCCCGCCGGGGCTCTGGAGTGACTTAAAACCTCAGTGCAGCTGGACCACGCCAAGTCAAGCCCAAGGCCCTTCTGCACTGCTGGCTGGAGTGGGAGCTGGAAATCTCTCTGCAAACACAATGGCATCATCTAGGGAAGCTGACAGTAGCCTGACTCCAAGAAGAGGCCATAAATTCCAGGAGCCCGCTGTGTGGGTGGGTTCTGTGACTCAAAATCAACCAAGAACCCCTGTCCCAAGGGCAGGCACTGGGTGCGGTAGTTAAGAACCCACTTGGGGCGCCTGCACCCCATGCAGAGAGCTGGGATCAATTCACTCCCAATTCCAGCTTCCTGCTAATGCACACCCTGGGATGACAACTCGAGTACTTGGGTCCCTACCACCCATGTGGGAGACCCAAATGGAGTTCCCGGCTCCTGGCTCCAGCTAGGCCCAGCCCTAGCCATTATGCCCATCTGGGGAGTCAGCCACCACCAGCAGATGCACCCAGGAAGGCTCATGGCATCACTGTTCAGAAAGCGCATCGGTGAGGCACCCAAAGAACGGATAAACCGTGGAATATGCAGGCGATGGAAACCACACAGCAAACAGCCAAGTGCTATGTGCAGCATCACAGATGAATGGCCCCGATGCATGATGCTTCGTGAAAGCAACAAAATGCAAGAGAACGTCGACAATCTCAGGACCATTTCAACACACAAACGTAAAAACCTGTGCCTGCAGCCACGCAGAGATTTAAAACCACCGGAACTGTACAACTGACCAACCATTTACACAGGTCAAGGATGGACAATCTCATGAAAATGTTTAGCGACGAATGCTTAGAGGTGAAGGTGTTTTAAAAGCAAGGAAGCGATCATCACAAGATTGGCCAGCAGTGGCCCTCTCAGGAGAGGAGGCGCTGGGATGGGGAGGGTGTGGGACGTGCTGTTTGGTGTCTTTGTCGGAACAGTGGAGACCCAGGCAGTCGCTCCATGTGAACACGCCCCCGCTGCTGTACGCTGGGTGGCTTGTGCTTCTCCGTAGAGGGAAAAACACCTCTATATGCAACAGGGAGAGCCCCAGGGTGCCACCGGCCTACCTGTTCCATCCTCCACGTTCTCCACCTCCATGACTTCCGTGTTGATGCGACCCCTGAAGATGTAGAGGGAGCCGTTGATGGACTTGGTCCTCTTGGTGGACTTCTTGCTCCCGGTGACCCTGAAAGACAGTGGGAAGTCAGCATGCTCTGTGCCTCACCTCGCCAGGCACAAGGCGGGGAGCCCAGGGACAGAGGAGTGCAACACTAGGGTCAGAAGCGTGGGCGGTCAGTCATTTCTCCTCTGCCAGCCACAACTTCCTCACCTGACAAATGAGTGAGCTGCCCTAACGGCCCCACAAACCCATTCCCACTAACAGGAGACTCTGATCTGAGACGAAGAAGCAATGGAAACCCACTCTGCTGGGCTAGAAAATGGGAAGTGGCCCACCAAGCTCCTGACAGACAGGTACTCCCCGGAGTGGGCCAGGACAGGAGGACAGCATGGAGTAGGCGGTCTAGTGTCCAGTCCATTGCCCATTCATCATCCACTCAGGCAAATGCTGTGGTTCACCCATGCAGCCCCTGCTAATGTGTGCATGCAGGCGGGCTCCCTACCCCATTCATGCCTTAACCCCTAACCCCCAATGCCAGGGTCTTAGGAGGCAGGGCCTTTTGAGACGATTGGTCACGGGGCCGTGCCCTCCTGAATGGGGTCAGTGCCCTGATTTAAAGCAACCCCCAAGAGCTGCCTCGCCCCTTCTGCCATGGGAAGACATGGAGGGCCACGGATGAAGCCGACGGCAGGTGCTGGAGGGCCAGTGCCCTGCCCTTGACTTCCCAGCCCCATGAACCACAAGGAGTACATTTAGTTTTATTTTTTTATAAAGATCTATTTACTTATTTGAAAGTCAGTTAGAGACATAGATAGAAATCTTCCATTCACTCATATGCTCCCCAGATAGCCGCAACGACCAGTCTGGGCCAGGAAGCCAGGATCCAGGAATGCCATCCAGGTGTCCCACATGGGTGGCAGGAGCCCAAACACTTAGGCCATCTTCTGCTGCTTTTTTCAGGCCATTAGCAGGGAGCTGGATCAGAAGCAGAGGAACCAGGACACAAACGGGGCCTCTATGGGATGTCAGCATTGCAGAAGGCAATGCAGCACCATAATCCCAACCCCTTGACCCATCCAATTTATGGAATTTTGTGACCGCAGCCGGAAGAGACTAACAGTCGTTCAACAAACACCCGAACAGCACGTCCTCTGGGGAAGACACCAAGTGAGAGACAGGGGAGTTACTTATCCACGCACTCAACCCACACGTGGAGAGCACCTGCTGTGTGCCAGGTGCCGTTCTCAGTCCTAGGGCTACAGTAGTGACCAATACTAAGTGTCCGAGGACACATCTGATACAGGGGGCGAGGGACAGCGACAGGCACAAGTGAGAGGTGCCAGCTGCTGTCTGGTGACAACAGGCAGCAAGTGAACTCTCAGAACAGTGTGCAGGCCTCTGGACTCCAGCAGGTGGGCTGTGCGCTCCCCAGGAACCAGCTGGGTTTGTCCCCACAGCTCCCTGCCTGCCGGGTACAGCTCCTGTAACCAGGCACATTTCATGTCGCACAAGCTGGGGACACGAGTTTCTCACTCTGAAGATGGAGTGGTAAGAAGATGGCCTGGCTTCCAGCACGTGGGTGAGATGGGGGGTGGGGGGTGCAGAGGATGAAACCACCTGAGGTTTGAAGAGAATCCCAGCGGCTGCTGGTGAGGACAGGGCCGTAGGCGGGGTCTGAAGGTGGGCAGAAGCCAGGAGAACCAGAGAGGAGATGACAGCTTGCATGTATGCAGACACACACACACACACACACACATACACGTCTGTGCCTGTGTAGACCATGGGATTGTTCTGAGAATGGTGCTGTCCTGCTGACAGCGTGAGGTACACGCAGGCAAACCAGGGTGGCTACAATGTCAGCAGGCAAGAGCAGCTGACAGGACCACAGTCCAGTATGCAGCCCACTGCTCACCAAACGTTCTGCAGTGCGTACCTGTTTATGCAAACTTTGTATTAAAGTCTAAAAATCAGAAACAAGGAGACGCTAGGCCCAGTGACGTACAGGGCTCCACCAACCTCCACAGAGCGAATGCCTCTGTGTCAGCACCGCCAGCACCCCAAAGCCTGCCCCTGCCTCCAGCTAGTCCCCGCCCCCACAGGACGACCTCTGACCCTGCAGAGTCACTCTGTCTGCTTCTCCAACTCACAGAGACAGAATGCCCCCGTGTGTTCTTTGTGTCTGCTTCCGCACTCCCCTCCCGACCGAGAGCACATGGATTGTTGGCACAGCGACAGTGACAGACACTTGGCTGCTTTCCAGCTCGGTGCTACTCTGAGCGTTCCTCTGTGAGTCTTAGAAGAGCACGTGGCGGGGAGGGTGGCGGGTGTTGCAACGCTAGCATCCTGTATCCCTGCTGATGTGCCTGGGAAAGCAGCGCAAGATGGCCCAGGTGCTTGGGCCCCTGCACCCATGTGGGAGACCTGGATGGGCTCTTGGCTTCAGTCTGGCCCAGCCCCAGCCATTGCAGCCATCTGGGGAGTGAACTGGTGGGTGAAAGAGCTCCCTCTCTTTCTCCCTCCCTCTTGATCACTCTGACTTTCAAATGAACACAAGGGAAGAACACACACGACCTTTCTTTGGGCTGGACACCTCAAGGTTCGCCTGTGGAGTTTCAGGGCAAGCACACGGCTGCTCTGCCAACAGTGGCACCTGCCCAGTCCAGGTGCCCCCACCATCCCTCACTGCTGCCTTGGCTCCCCGGGTGGGTCTCTTACATGGCAGCATCTCGCTGAATGTTCAGTGCACATTTCCCTGTTGGGAAGCCAAACTCCCCTGAGCACGTGCTGGCCACCCGGCGTCTCCTTTGGTGAAATGACCGTCCCCTGCCCATTTCTGGTTGGGCTGTCTGTGTTTTTTCTTGATTGCTTAAAGCAGGCATTGGCATGTGTTTTCTGGAAAGATTTTGGGGTTTGCAGGCCACATGGTCACTATGACAACCACTCAACAACTCTGCCCTGAGGACATCACAGCAGCCACAGAGGGTGCAGGAATGAATGGGCATGGCTGTGTTCCAATAAAACTTTATTTGCAAAACAGGCAGAGGTCACATGGTCTGCATATGGTTGCACAGACAGCAAAGATACCCACACTGTGGCCTACCTCCTCCCTCTCTGCAGAGCACCCTGGGCTGAACCAATGTTCTTAATTCTAACGTCATCTAATGACACTACATTTCCTTTACAACCGCACTCTCTGTCCTATTTCAGAAATCTTTGCTGACTGTCGATCACGAAGATATGATTCTCCACACTTCCTTCCAGAGCTCTGTTGTTTCATCTGTCACATTTGATCTATGATTCATCTGAAGTTGATTTTTTTTAAGATTTATTTACTTATCTGAAAGGTAAAGCAACAGAGAAAGAGAGAGGGACAGAGAGAGAGAGAGATGGTTGACTCCCAAATGGCCAGAACAGCTGAGCTAGGTCAGGGCCATGCCAGGAGCCATCCGGGACTCCCAGGTGGGTGGCAGGTGCCCAAGCACTCGGGCCATCACCCACTGCCTTCCAGGCACACTAGCAGGGAGCTGGATCAGAAGTGGAGCAGCTGGGACTCAGGCCCACAACTCAGTATGGGATTTGAGCATCCAGCGCTCCGGCTTAACCCGCTACACCACCACACTGGCCCCTCTGACACTGCTTTTAGGTATGATGTGAGGTAGGGGGTCAAGAATCATTCCCCCACCCCCGCTGAATACCAGACGGAACAAGGACCATTTCTTGAAATGCAAGAGACTGATGAGAGCGCCCACTCTGGACTCCCTATCCTACTCCATCCCCTCGTCTGTCTCAGTCACTGCAGCTTTACAGGAAGCCTCGAACCTGGTAAGAAAGGTCTGCCAGCCTTAACCTCCTTCCAGCGCCTCAGCCATTCCTGCCTCTGGGCATTTCCCTGTAAAATCTACAACTGGCTGATCATGCCTACACACACCCCACATGCAGCATGCACACACACACACACACACACATCCCACACAAACATACATGTCTGCACACCTACACTACATACAGAACATACATACACCACACATAACCCCCCACCTACACTCATCACACATCACACCCACACAGACACAAACGTACCATACACACACACACATGCACACACACACACCCCATACTGGGTCCGTTTCTCTGGAGAGCCCTGATTAACCCTGATTAACACAGCCATTTACCAGGGCGAGCAAGGCTCACGGAGACGCAGACCCGAGGGGGCAGGAGCTAAGGACACAGAGGCACGCTTCACAGATGGTGTGACACCCCGTGAAGATGCATTTTGCCATCTCTCTGCTTCACACACCACGTGCCAAGCACTGCTTTAACCACTTCACACGTGTGCTTTATGAGCCATACTCAAAACCCACCTCATGGAGAGAGAAGAGCCTCTATCCCCATGGAACAGACAGGGAAACAGAGGCACAAAGCGCTGCCACACTCGCCCGTGTCACCAGGGCAGCGAGCAGTAGAGCCCCTTTGCTCTGACCCGCTCCACGGCCCTG